AGAAAACTTTATTTTTAGTTTCAGTTTAAAAATTCCATTTTTTTGAAAGGTACTGCTCTTGGGAAGTTTTACCTTTCAAGACGAATATATATTCATGTTTTGAGTCGTAACCTTAAAATTTATTATATTTAAATTATTAATATATAATTTGAATGACAATACAAAAGTTCGAAAAATCAATAACCAATTTTTGATAAAATTGTCGTTTTTGTTTTAAAGTCTATCTAAAAACGATGTCCATTTGGCAATTATTTACATCAAACAAGTGAAAATAATAAGAATTAGGAAAATAATTAAAAACCATGTAAAAATGTGGAATAATGTTTTTGGAGTGTTTTAAACAATTTAAAAACTTAAATAAGAAATATTTAAGTTTTTATGTTTTAAAAATGCCCAAACAACCTTTTTAGACCGACAAAAATGTGAAATCGTAATAATTCAATCATGAAGAATTTAAATAAATAATTTATTATTGTTTTGTTGTGTATTAAAACATTTAGATAATTTTAAAAGATTTTATTTTGAAAATAATTACCATTTTTTAAGAAAATACTTTATTTAAAAAAGTGTTATGTAGTACACATAAATTTTGTTAAACAGGGAATTTCAAACCAGTTAGTTTTCAAAAAACCAATAATTCAACAAACTTGTAAAAGAATTATTTTTTATGCCGAAAATTAAATAAAAACAAAATATTTTTGTTTTTTAAATTTTTTTATTTTTCAAAAAAAACAACATTTAAGCATGATTAGACATTTCAGTCTTTTTCAAAAGGGCATATTCCCAAAAATGTATTTTTTCTACACAAAACACCGACAATTTATTCAAACTTTTGTTTTATCGATTTTTAAAAATAAAATAATTAAATTGGTAATAATAGGATCCAAATGCCATTTTTTAAAAATAAAAAAATATAAAATGAATTTTAAATTATGTAATATTGATGAAGTTTTTGAAACTTTTAATTACTTTTTAAAAAGATTTTAAATAAATAATATAGTAAAAAAATAATGTGATATATCATTCAAAAATATAAATATAGTTTAATTATAACTATTTTGTGTTCAATATTTTTAAATTAACTTTTAATTCAATTTATAAGAAACAACAAAAAAAACAAAATATTTTTATTATTTTATTAGTTAATAAATAATAAATATCAGTAAGTTACTATATATATTTTATAATTCCAGTAAAATAATAAAAAACGTACATAAAATATTATATTTATAACAAACTCATTAATATAAAATCTGATTAATAATTAAATGAAAGTTAACAAAAGACAAATATGTTTTTGTTCAGAAATTATGTTTAGACCTTACATTCCGGGTATAAGCGATAGTGAACTTGTGGATGCTTTTTATTGTCCTTTGTGTAACAGGTGTTATAAAGAACATAAACAACACTTTTCAAATAAACACAATGATTTATAAAAAAAACAAGGAAAAATCGATATGAAAGCTTTAAAATGTATATATGAAAACGAAAGTGACATTATGTTGTATTTATCTATTCTTGATATTCAGAGTGGGCATTATAAGTCGTTCCAAAATATAATTGGAACAAAAAACAATATTTTAGAAATGGAACTTAATAAAATAACAAGTAAAATAAATGTCGAGGTTTTAAAAGAAAAAGCACCAGTATTAAAAAGAACAATTGTTGATTTGTTTATGAATAACAACACATTAATGTCAGAAAAATCAAGTTTTTCAGAAAGTGTAGATGAACAACAACCCATTGAGGAAAAAGCACCCCGTATAATGGAGTGTGATTATATAGAAAGTGAAATTAATAGTGACAATGAAAGTATAGAATTTTCAACAACAAGTGAACAAATCGATCTAGAAAAGCCGTATGAAGACGTTTTAAATTCAAGTTTAATGGAAAGCACGGAAGATATCTCAGAAGAAATTTTCTTTTTAAGAGAACAAAGTGAAAGGGGTTGTACACCTGAACAAACTGTTCAAATACCACAATCCCAAACAACCAATTTTAATGTAAAACAAACTAATATAACTCCTTTAATGGCAGCAAGAATTGAGAAAATGGATTTGATTAATTCTTTTTTGCAAGAAGCTGATAATTCTACGCAAAATAAGACTGAATTTATAACAGAAAAAATCAACAATCAAATTCGAAATAAATACTTAAAACCCAAAAATAAAACAATGGTCGATGAACGCAGTGAATATGTTTATGTTTTGTTAATGTTATATGCAACAACAATTAATTTGTCGACATCTGGAATTACCAAAATTGTCGAATTTATTCAGATTGTTATTTTACTTTGTGGAGTCGAGAAAGATGTATTAAACTTTAACATAAACGCAAAATCGATTCTAAAAATGATGGAATTTTTATCTCTTCGGAATCTCAAAGAAGTTGAAAATGCATCAAATGAATGTTTATATTATAGCATTTTTACAGATTCAAGCCGGTTCAAGGGCAAAGAGACATTCTCTCTTTTTGGACGATTTTTAACACCTGATCTAAAAATAAAAGAATTAAAAATAAAAATTGGAAATTTTTTCGGTAAAACGGACGCTGTAAATTGGTCAAACTGGGTTAAAACCTTTCTTTTTAAATCAAAAATGTCTATTTCGAAACTTGTTGCTTTTGTTACTGATGGTTCAAGCACTATGGTTTCAAGAGTTGGTGGTTGTGCAGGAAAATTGATTAAATTCATGTCTTCACTTCTTAAAACAAAATTCAGAACTATGTATTGTTATGCACATGGTCTTAATCGAGGTTTGGAATGTGCATTTAATTGTAACGAAGCTTTTCTTTCCAAAAAATTTCTTAAAAGTTTGACATCAGAAAAAAATGAGAAAGACATGGAGCGATTATATATTTCAAACTGATTTTAATAATTATCTGACACAAATGTGTGGATGGTCGGATACCAGATGGTCTCTTACTAAAAATATTACAAATACAATATTTGAAAATTTTGATGAATACAAAAAATTTTTGAATAACTATTTCATTGACATTAATATAGAAACAAACTTACAAAAAACACAAAAAGAAAAAAAATGTTATTCAAACAAACAGAATTGGGACTGCTTCTTTACAAAATTCTGTTTTTGTTGGTTATTTGTTTTTTATTTATATGTTAATGACTAAAGTTTGGTTTATAAACAAATGGTTGCAAAATAAAGACGTTCTTTATGTTATTTCATATAAAAGAGTGTGTTTATTTATCAAAGAAATTATTCAAATAAAAACTAAAATTGAAGAACCATTCAATTTATATTTTACATCTCTTCCGTTTATCAGAGAATTTACTAAACCTGATGATATCAACAATTGTAGAAAAGCATGTTTGGAACTAATCACACATGTGGTAAACAATCTTTCATTGAGATTTGTTCACTCCTTTCAAAAAATGGAATCGATCGACCTTGGATTTTTAGAAGAAACAGATATTCAAATAAAAACGGAAAAAGACTTCGATATTTTGTATGAAATGGCTACTAAAAAGTGTTTAAGGATAGAAATTGATTTGTACACACTTCCCGAAGACTTAACAAAATGTGACAAATGGAAATTGCCACCAATGTTAAAAGAAGAAGTGGAAAGAATGAAGAAATGGCGTCAAAACAACAAAGATATAATCGAACTAATTAAAAAAGAAAATCAAAGCGAAGCTACAAAAGCTGTACCTGTAAAAATGACTTTAGAAGATCGTAAACATGTCGCTAATTGTGTTAATTATGGCCATTTCGACAATGCTACAATTTTGGACGTTGATATACAAAATCCGAATGATGACACTGAGATATCGAAAAACACGTTCATTTATCTTTTAAAAGAAAGAGTCAATGCAAGAGGATGAGCATATTTTTTGTTTAATGTACTTTTGTTTAATTAAAACAGTTGTGATTTTTGTTTAATCTATTCAAAATATAAAAAAATAAATTTTGTTGTTTATGATGTCAATATTAATTTTAACGGCTTAAATGTTAAAAATTGAGAAATGAAATATAATCCCATTGCATGTTTGTGTAAAATTATAAACAATTTATCGTTGTTAAATTGTATTAGTGTTAGTATATAATAGAAAAATGTTATATTCATAAGATACGTATTAAAGTTACATTAAATATTAATGAAGTTTATAATTATCATTTTAATTTAATTTGAAAAATTATAACGTGTTTAAGACTTGTATTACAACTTATTTACCGATATTTCATTTATGTTTTAAATAAAAAAATGTAAGTTATTAAAATACTAATAAAACATAAACAACACCAAAAATTCACTCACACTTCTAAATGTTTAGTTACCTTTGAACGATTGATCCGTTTCATTATTTTTGATAATTCACTTTTTATTCTTTTTTATGTATTGTCGTTTTTATTTTATCAGAACAAGTTTTATCCGTTTTCGCATCATTTATTTCATCTTCACACTTATTAGTTTGAATAAATGTTTTTTCATATTGGACAACTTCGACTGAATTACTATTATTTTCAACATTTTCATAAATGTTAGAACAAGCTTCTTTCAAATAATCATCTAATCCATATTTGTTTTCATCCTTGAAATCGCTGAGAACTCTTGAGATACTTGTTGAAAATTGTTCGATTGAGCACACATTTGAATAATAATTGTTAGTGATATTTTTAATCTTTTTGTTGTGAATTGAATATTTTTTGTTTTTTCTTGTTAAATTTCCATTAATCATTGTTTGGTATCTCTGTTTTTCTTCTGTTTATACCTGATTGACACATTCAATCCACATCCATTGTGTTGGCTTTGTTTTCATTGTCCTTTTTATAAAAGCAGAATGATAGCTTTCCGCATTGTTGTTAGTCCTAAGGTTTTGATTGTATTGGCACCACAAATTTGGTTTGAACAATCCAAATATCCAATTGTTGTTAAAGTATTCATAAACAATTTTTAAATGATTGTCATCACTTAATTTAATAACGTTATACTTATTAATAAACTGCTTTTCGATTTCATTTTCTTTTAAAAAAACGAGTGATTTCAATTGATTAATAGCTTCAATAAATTCAATGTCGTTGTTCAATCTATTCTTCATTCCATTCATACAACAAAACCTCCATATACATTGACCAAAATGAAACAAACAACCCTTGACGGTTGTGCTAGTTTTTGACTCGAGTGCTTTTATAACAGAATATTCAAAATCTACCATTGTTATAGTTCCTTTTCCAAACATTATATATCCCAAATCACTAGCAAGTTTCATTATAGTTTCAATTAACATTTCGTACGTTTCCATTTTTTTATCCACTAATAAACAATGAAAAAGTCGAAAACATTCACCATTATTTAGTATACCATGTATTGTATAACTTTGATAATATGGTTCCGGTGAAGCTTTGAATGTTCCATCCATTAAAAATTGTGTAATATTTGAAAATTAACAAGTTTTTCTTTATTACCAAAAATAGCAATTGTATAATTTGTAAATAACATGAGCTCGTTATAATGATCATTTTCTTTAAGTAAACCCGTTAAATCGTGGAACTGCTTTCGTTTTTTTCGGTATAGTTTTTTACTACTTGAAAGCCTACCTTGATATTTCGTATAGTCGTACCCAGCCATTCCAACCGATGGTGGAACCAATGGACTTTGTTCGAATGCTCTTTTAGTAATTTCTTGAATAGCTTGAACTTTTTGTAAATGAGAGCCAGTGTGATGGTTGTGAGTATAATTGTTAACCATTATGTAAGAAAGAAATTGAGTTTCGTTCCCAATTTTAGTTGACTCAACAAAGCGGATTTTAACTTTACAGCCATTGGAATAACAGCTGCATTTAAAAACATCATGTGAAGCTCCGTCTTTATAATACACACAATCATCAACAACAGGCAAATAAGTACCACGTGTGCTTAATATTGTTGTTATGTTGACTCGAACTGTAGTATCAAATTGTGATAAATTTGTTTTTTCTTGTATTTCAACAGTTTTAGATGGTCCAACTACTTGATCCTGAACAAACAAATTTGGTAGTGTGGATAGACAATCTCGATAAACAAATTGTGGTTGTGATAAACAAGGAATATAAAACATATGTAAAAAAGTTGCTATTTTTTAAAAATAATTTGATTAAAAACAAAAATATAAAAAAATATTAAAAATAACCATATATTTCCCGAAAAAAATCGAAAAAATAGTACAAAAAGTATCATTTTTAATAAAAAAAAATAAACAAAAGTCACTCATTAATTACTTATTAAACAAAAATCCTTAAACAAAAAAGCACATACCATGCAAGAGCATGGTACACAAAAATTATTAATGAGACTGAAGATCGATGTCCAATTATTGTACTTACACTCAGCAACATATTTAAAAAATGCCATCCGAAGTTGTAGCCACCTTTCCTTCACTATTCAACATGGTTTCACGATTAGATGCAATGGCGGTGACAAGTTGTAGTGTTGAAAGGAGTTTTTCGATACTAAAATTGGTCTATAAAAATAATATGAAAGAAACCATGCTTGAGGCAAGACACGACGGTCACACGTTTCAAACATAAAGTGATTAAAGTTAAAAAATAACATACAAACCAAAGTTACACAAAAGTAAGTGGAAAATATATTTTATGTTTGTTCAAATAAAATAAAATATATTTTTTTATTATTTATATATTGTTTATTATTTGTAATGATATTAATTAAAATACCCATAATTATTGTTTAAAACAATGATTTAATTAATAATCAATAATATATTTTTGTGTGTAATTGATTTGTACTTATGGTGGGTTAAATTATAACTATTTGAAATTTTGTATAATAATATAATAATAAATTATAACTAAATTAAATACCTATAAATCTTAATTGTTGATGTACTTCTCTTAATTAATAATTAATAATTAATAATTAATTAATATCTTAAAAACATATTCCAAAAGATTTAATAACAAAAATTGATTCATATAAAATAATATAAATCGTTATATTTGTCATTTGACAGAATAATATTAATTTAAAAATCAACAAGTTTAAAATCATTATTTATCATTTTAATTTATTATTATAGTTAAATATGTTATTTTTATAACATTTAATTTGATTAAATAAATATATATAAAGTTTAATGAACATTCATATTCTATTTTATTGCTTTTAATATAGTTCATTAATAATTTTATTTAATTCTAGGTTTATATTGAATATAATTTTACTATTTAATTGGAATTGGTTATTAATTTCTTTAATAATAAATTATTTTTTATATTATTTTTCTGAAATAATTGTACTATTATTAATAATATAAATATAAATTGATTTTAAATACATTTTAGTGTTTTTAATGAATTTTATATTTTGATGTTTATATTTTTATACAATTCATTTTTTAATTTTATAAATATTAAACCCGTCACTGTGTGACACATGATAATGGTCATTGGCAAACCCTTTTTTCTTTTTTTCGTTAAAAAAATTTGTAAATTAGTGAAACGTATTTACAACATTTTCGGCAAAATTTTTTGGTTTAAGTATAGTTTTTTGTCTAATCATGATTTAAGATTCATTTTTAAATACATCTAAGATGTTGTAATTATTTGCTGTTAAATGTGGTTATTTAACTAATAAATATTTTTTGTTAAAAGTTATCACAATTGGTAATGTTTTCTAAAATATAATAAATGAAATAATGTTATTAAAAAGCAAAAAAAAACAATTAAACAATTATTTTTGATATTAGGAACCGAATATTGATGCTGTCCATGTGTTTTTTGGCAAATAAGGTTGGGATAACATGTTCCAACCATGGTTTTTTAAATTTTAAAAAAGGCCCAAAACTTTTGAGGATTTTTCCTTTAATAGTTTATCCAAATAAGTGCTTTTGGGTCAGGGACAAAATATAAATAAATCAGAATCTTTTTTTTAAAATAGGGTTTTGAAAAAGTATTATTTTGTGTTTGCTCTTTTCAGCAGTAAGTTACTGGTGAAAAAAAACACGAAACATCCCAAAGATTCACAATAAAAGTACTTGTAATCAAACAGTTATTTTTTACTTAAAATTGGTTCAACCAGCCTATTGTTTGGTAGTCAAACAGAAAAAAAATGATAAAATGAATATAAAATATATAACATATTAATGAATAGCAATATTTCGGGAATTTCAATTAATAACCCAAAAGTGTAGTAAATTTGCCTCAAAAAGCTCTGAAATAATGACAAATTAAACTGAAAAAAAGTCAATTTGACCAATCAAATGACTAGCAATAATAACATTAACATACAACAATAATATAAGCATTAACACTAATCTTCAATGATAAAAAAAATATTAAATGATATATATTATCATTATATTAGTGTTATTTATAATAATAAAAAAAGCAATTCGGAGAATTAATGTTTTACTTTAAGTGAATTCATGTATTAAGCTCGTAAACTCTTCGAAAAACTTGCCTAATTATCCATTGGGCATTTGTTTGAGCCAGACACCTTAATGCAAAGGCTATATATTGATAATTTGTGTTTTTTTACCGTTTTAGGTTGGTTCGAACATTCACAGCTGACTTGATTTCCCATCGGACCCAAAGATGTCTTTGTCGTTTATATCATGTTATTTCAAATGTTCAAAAAGCATCACATCAAATGAGAAATTGTTATAACGACTCTCGCACCTTAGTTCGACTATTCTGGGAAGGTGCGAACCAACACACCATTTTTATATACGAATGTGCCAGCAATACATTCACATTTATTGTACTGCCAACGGTTGTTATCTTAGCTTTACTCCTTTGCATTTTAATCAAGTGAAAACACAAAGAAGTTGTCTGGTTTAATGTCTGCTTATAAATATTTCTTCACTTCAATTCGACACACTTTCTTT